GGGGTTGGAACTAGATGATTTTTTATGGTCTCTTCCAACCCAGGCCACTCTATGATTCCATGATGACTTTATGTCCTACAGAGCCAATACCAACCAGCTCTAAGATGGACCTGCCACTGGCCAAGGCCAAACCAATAAGTGATGGTAGTGACACTGTGGGGATAACATAGTTAAGAAGAAAAAAGAAGTTATTGTATAGAAGCAATAGCATCCAGAGGAAAGACGAGGGAGAATATGTGACAGCAATGGCTCTGCAGACACCAGGGTCAGTGAAGAAGGAGGAGAAGAAATTGTGCCAGGCACCAGAGCAGAGATTCCCCTGCAGCCTGTGGTGAAGACCATGGTTAAGCAGCTGAGCCCCTGCAGCCCATGGAGGTCCACAGGGGAGCAGAGACCCTCCTGCAGCCTGTGGAGCAGCCCCATGCCAGAGCAGGTGGATGCCTGAAAGAAGCTGTGACACCACAGGAAAGCCTGTGCTGGAATAGGCTTCTGGCAGGGACATGCAGACACATGGAGAAAAGTCCCCAAACTACAGCAGGTTTACTGGAAGGACCTACGATCTTGTGAGAGAGGAGGTAGAAAATCAGCTATAAAATTAATCCTGGGAAGGAGGGAGGAGTGGGGGAAGGTATTTTTAAGATATGCTTTACTTCTCTTCTATTCTGACTTTGATTAGTAATAAATTCGACTAATTTCACTGAGTCAAGTCTGTTTTGCCCTGGATGGTAACTGGTGATGATCTCTCCCCATCCTTATATTGACCCGTAAGCCTTTCTTTCCCCTGTCCATTTGTAGAGGGGAGAGAAAGAGTGGCTTTGGTGGCTACTGGAGGATACATCTGGTGCAGGTAGCTTGGTTTGCAAGCTGCAGTTTGGGATGCAGCTTGAGATCTGAGTGGGAGCTCAGAGAGACAAGAGGCTGTGAACTGCCAACCCTTAGGTCAACAAAAGGCACATACTGGTGGTATCAGCCAGGGTGGACACTGAGAGACACAGTAGGAGTCAAAGACTCAGGAGGAAGAGACGGACTTGCACCTGGGTAGACTGTGAGGGTATAAAAGCCCAGGGGTTCCTTTGCTGGGGGTCCTGTCAGAGGCAACAGTTCAGGCTGTTTCTGTGTTACTGCACTTTATGGAACTCGACATCTGAGACTCTGCTATGGGAAACCTGGAGTCAAACCAGTAAAGAAACCTTGTCTGACTTCGTGTGAATGGGGTGTGTGGGGAGTCAAGCAAAGCACCCGACAGCTCACTGGAGTCACCCACTGAGAAGGGGCTTCGGATGCAGCAGTTAAAGTCTCTGGCCTTGGGAGTTTGACTGCCAGAGAGTCTCATGAATGGTCAGATTGGGAAGTTTCCTCTACAGCGGGCACCTGGTGTCCAGCCAGAGTCAACCCACCAGTCTTTCAACTCTGAAAGAACATGTATTAAAGAAAACTGCCACATCTTCCATTCATGCTGGGAAAAAAAAATAAAGGAAGAGATGACTACATCTACAACCAAAAACAATCCCACCGGTATGCACATGGTTTTCTTAGAAGTTACAACCAAATACCCTGACCTGGAACTTTACATGGGACTAATTCATTGTAATCTGCCATGCGTGTTTGTGTGTTTCTCTGTGTGTGTGTGTGTGTATGTGTGTCTAAACACTATTATTATTTCCCTTAAATAAGATTCTGATTTGCATGGGCAATTCTAGACAGCTGAGATGTAGAAAGAAACATCTTTCATCTAAACCACTGTTAACTTTAATCATATGGATATGAACGCCAAAGGTCTAAACTGAGAGCAATCACTCAATTCTAATGAATATGAAAACCAGTATGTTCCAGAATAGTGCCTGATGGAAGGATCAACTTCTTTCCTTCCTTTTCCTGGAAGCAAAGGTGCAAGAGTGGAACACAAAATTCTTTCTAGTGAATTGCATATTTCCATAATCAGAACCACACTGTGATTCTGATTGTTTTGATTAGTCTCCCAAGTACTTTCTTTTGCACTGCAGTTATTCCACACCCTCACATGCATTTCTACAAAAGTCAAGTTCTGGTGATACGTAACTAGTGTGGCACACTTTCTTCCTTTCCCACTATCTGCTTTCATTGGAGATGATCAACTAAGACATTCTCAGGCTAGAATACTTGCCACTCATTATATGAGTTCTTCAGGAATTTCGAAGAAGTCAGTATTAACCTATATTATAAACTAATTTTTTTTTTCTTTTTAATTTAAGGGTGACAAAGATAACAATGACTGCAAAATTTCTTGGGGGAAAATAGACAGTCCTATGATGTCTTGTCATCATATGGATCTTTTGAGGAAAGATAAAACCTTTGTTGTTATTTCTTTTTCCAACCTCCACTACAGGATTTTTTTCTTTTTCAGACTCCAACTTAACAAAAATCCTGCCCTGAAAGAAAAAAAAACTACATGGGTTCCTTATCCACCAGTGATGCCATATGCTCACCTGCAGTGGGTCTCTGTGCTCTGGCTCACTGCTGCAGCAGGACAGGTGTGTCAAGGGGAAGTGGCAGCTCAGTACAACCAGGGCACCTCCCAGCATTGCTGGTGGCACCAGCCTCTCTCTAACTGCTACTGGAAAATAGCGTGTAATGTTTATATGTATGTCCCACTCTCTGTGCTGTAGTCAATATCAAATAAAACCAGATATCCCTCGAATACCTTTTGTTGTTACTTGATACCTAAATATGAGATAGAAATACTTTTTGACCTTACTCTTTCGGGTTTTGCTAATGAAGAGCCAGATCAGTAACTAAAAATCCCAGAACACGTCTGCCAGACAGGAGCTCACAGAAAGTGCAGCAGGGGAATAGGTCCCTCAAGACATGGGTGACCTGCTTCCAGCTGCCTTTCAGCAAAAGGATTTCAAGTTACCTGTCAAGTCACAAGACTATTTTGTCTGCTGTTGAACTCACTGTACTTTGCATGAAATAAATCTATTTTCACTAAGCTGCAGAGAAGTGCAATTCCTTAGTCCCACAGCAGATAATAGTTTCATTTATCATTGTTTAGTGGCAGGAAGCACTCTTACAGTGAGCTACTGCTTAGTAAGAGAGTGAAAATGGGCCTGTATTCCAGACAAAGTTTGAATTGCAGCCTTGTACCTGTCCTCAGCATCTTCTCTTGAACACAACTTCCTAGGGTCAGCATACTAACTCCCACAGGTCTGCTCTGCTACTGCTGGGTCCAAACTTGGGATGACAAAAAGCTCAACCAAATATTAGTTAGTGGACTGCTAAGATGAGCTTCAGGTCTTCCTGGTTTTAAATGTCTGCAAAAAGACCGTGGTGACTAATAGCAAATACAGTAAATAGAGAGCAGCCAGCACTGTGAACAAGTCCTCTCATCAGGTGCCAGTGCCTACTTAGGCTGATTTAAATACCTCTCAGCCCTACTGACTACTACCAGATCTTTAGTGACTCTAGAGAGAGCTTAGCCACAGTGTTTGTGTGTAGATACCCACGTTACTAATACCTGCAACAAAATGAGCTTTATCCTCTCCTAAAGCTGCTTTCTCATGCCAGACTCAGAGATGTCAATAATCTTTTCAAAATCATGTATTTTGTGTGTTTTAGGAAGGAATTTGGATCTTGAGTTATAGTAGGAAAATGGCCATGTATTTCCTAAGAGATTTTGTGAAATATATGCCAAGATGGTTTTGTTAATTCTTTGTGGGTTTTTTTCCATTGTGTATGTGTAAGTTGGTACACATGTGTATATACATGAACACACATACACATATATATCGTATATTTGTGGTAAATAAAATAATATATAAATAAGTCTCTCACTTCAGCTTTTACTATACTATCTTAAACTGGAAAATAATACTGATTTGTTTACTGCATATGTATATTGGAAGGCTATTAATATTTACAAAATGCATTGAAGTGCTAAGCACCATTACCTTATTGATGACTCAAAATTGTAACTGAGCTCACATTTCATTATATTGTCTTTTGCATATGGATGGATATTATTCAACTGTGTGCAAAACACTTAAGCTTCAAAAAGAAATACAGTAAATACCTTGCTACCAGAATCACCCTAAATCCAAACACAGGGTATAAGAAGAAGTGAGTTGCCACAATCATTATGCCTGCATCTCAGATGGCATATAGCATCTATGGGGTTTTATAACTGGCTCTGTTTTTAAGTAGCTTACCTTGGGCAACTCATTTAGTATCAAGATTTCCAGTGCAGCCCTATTTTAGAGGTGAAGGCTGTCTAACCTCTGATGTTTGGACCAGGATGTCAAATGATCTAAATGTTGAAATGTCTTTTTACTGATTTAGTGGGAATAAGTTGCCTGAATATCTTCAGGGTTCTCAGATGATACTCCAGGCACTGTAAATCCAAAGATAACATTAATATAAGCTGAAATTTTGTTTGGATGACTAACAGCCAGTCCTGAAAAAAGTTTCTGTGATATCTGAGATATATATTAGCAATACCTTTTAAAACTGAAATACTCACAGAGGAGACAAAAAATATCAGTTCTTCTTATTCTTAAATTTCTTCACTAGTGAAAGACCTTTCCTTAGACATGCACGTTCTGAGAGCTGCTGCAGTTTTGGATGCTGTGCTTCTGATTCTCCATTTATCCGACATAAGAATGCAGCTGTACAAAGATGAATATACTAGAAACTGGACCTGCCTTTCTCTTTGTTTTCTGAATATTGCATGACATGCAGCCTCTTTACTCTGAGTACTGCATGACATGGAGTAACAGAAATCCTCCACCAAATTATTAAGCGTAAAAAATAACCAGAACAAATTCCTTCCAGCAATTTTATTTTATAAACTTGATGATGGGCAAGCTGTAGCGTAAATGTGCATTTCTAAACCTAGGCTCAAATCCTAGCACCTCGAACATATCTTTCTGATGAGGAATGCCTTTGGGCTCTCATAGTTATAGCTAAGTCCATCAAATTTAGACTTATGAAAACAAGTGACATTAGTGGGTTTTTTTATACTGTACCTGTACAGATGAAACTTGATAGTCCTCCGTAGATGACATCATCGTTGTCTGGTAATATAAAGGGACACCTCGTTTGAACCTCCAAACAGTATTGCTTGCAAGGAATTCTGTTGCTGCAGTGAAACTGTGTGACTTCAAAATACTGGGAACAGAGCCAGGCTTTGTAGACAATCTGGAAAAAAGAGAAGAACCAGAAGTATAGATGGATTGCAATAGCAGTGTCATTATTAGAAGAACACACTGTACTGCACACCTACATTAATGCTGCTTCTGAAAGAATATTTTGAGAGAATATCACCTGGGTAAAACAAACTCTTAACTTTTGAAAGTCCTCCTATTTCAGAAAAAAAAATTCCAGCCAAGTCATTTAAAAGAAACAGTTAATCGGGACTAGGGTTATGTTACTATATTATCTTAGTTTGTAAACAGGTATCTCTTAGATGTGACTTTTTATTGAACATATGCATGTATGGAACACAGTCCTGTCCCTTATCCCTGCACCTTATCATATACAAACTGAGACAAAAACCTCATTTGAAGCTAGTCAAGGACAAATTTATGAAAGTGCATGCAAGAAAGAGTTGAAAACTGAGCTCAGGCCATCTTTCTATCATCTAGAGCTAAGCTACCAGCTTGCAATAGATGGTGCTGCTTCCCTTCAAATAAAACCTTATCCAGTCTACAGTATTAATTTCCTGAACATTACGGTTCTTGAACACTAACAGCCGTAGATTAGGGGATAAATCTGCCAGAGTGAGAATCAAAGTCTATGTTTGGGAGTTAAAAGGAACACTTTAAGGATGTTCTCATTTGATGCCGTGTAGCCACGGCTGCAGGATCTTTGATTATTGCAATTATCATCATCATTTAAACAGAAAAGTAAAATAAACATGTTGATTTCAATTTTACTGCTTTTTGTCTTCTGAGCAAGGGTATTTGTCATTAGAATTGAACTAACCTTTTAGGCACAGAAAAGTTTCCTACAAAAATAGGTTGGACACCAGGCTACAAAGGTGATCAAAAACCTGTGTGACAGAGTACAGAGAGGTTTACTTGTTTCCCGTTTTATTTTCCACTTATCCATTTTGAGGTACATTATTTACTGTCTAGATACTTGCTATCTAGGTTGTTATATAACAAAAATTTCCTTTCTGTATTCACTCAGAATATCTGAAAATCTTAGTAACTACCTTTCCTTTATCACAGGCTGAAAAGCAATATAGTCAGTTAATCATTTCTCTTCTCTCTAGACTTGTTTCTAATAAAGAAGGAAATGTAGACGAAATTTTGAAGCAGTGAAAATTAAAAAACCCTGACACCTGAAATGAGCAATCTAGATGAGAGTTTTGCTTGAATTCAGTATCTTTCATCTCACTGGTAATAATTTTATGAGGGTCAATAACAGCAGCTTAAATTATGTAATTAATTCCAGTGTAGTAGTCCCAGAATCACAAAACTTTTATTTTAGCTTGTTTGCAACAGTGGCAGGTATGGATAAAGTTGTGAGGTGATAAAGTGAAGCCTTTATCAGTAATCTATGGTTTGTGATTATCTTTTTACAGCAGCTTTTGCCTACTGAATTCCATAGAACATGGGTTTTTTCCACTACAAATTCAATTTTAATTGCTTACAAACTTTTCTTATCCACAGATAATGATTAATGACAAGGAAGACTATGAAATGTGTGTACTTTTTGTTCTTAAATAAACTCCTAAAGAGAAAATGTTTTTCTCGATGTTGACTATATTACCCACCACATTTTTGATGCTTGACTTGCTATATTGACACTTGCAATAATAAATGAAATAAAGCAACTGTTTTTCTATTTTTATTTAGTCAGTGAGCATAGCCTGTTGGTTGGAAACAGGAACACCTGGTCTGATAACAGATAAATATTCACAGATGTTCTTTCTTGATCACTAACAGTGTAGAGAATCCTCTTGTTCTCTTCATGAAATAGATGTAAGAGTAGTATGTTGGGTTATGAATCATATTTGAAAATGTACGTCAGTTTTTAGGGAGTGTATTGAACAGTGCACCATACACAGTAACCAGAAAATAAGCAAACCCATGTGTCTACTTATGCAAGATAAGAAATAAGTGTTTATTCAAGAGCAGAAGTAAACAATGTAATCGTGGGCTTTTGTGAAGATTTTTATGTATCTAAGCTCAGTTCATACATATCATCTTCCTGCTCTGATTCACAAGTGCTCAGTTTTGGCTCAAAATTGCATTTGAATTCTTGTCTACATTTTTAAAGAATGCACGTGCATGAGTATACCTGTTCTTGAGATCTGTTTCTTAGATAAGCGCCTCCCACTCTGTTATTTTTTTCCTCACAGCTGATTTCAGACTTTTCTGTAGTCTATACAGATATTTTTAATATCCCCATTTTGCTCTGTTTTGGCCAGCAAGGCTACATGGAGTACCAGAGAAGGCTCACCTTCTGTGCCTGTCAGTCCACTGCTGGCACAGCTTTGGCCTGTGCTAATTCCTACATTTCCAGACAGCGCTCAGCCATTGTCTGGGGAAAGATGTATGCCAAGAACCACACCAGTAAGCAGTTTTCCCTTTTTTTTGAGAAAAAAGGAAAAAAAAAAAGTAGGTGTTTGCAAATAAGCTATGCTGTGCTAGCTGATAGACCAGAGAATAGTCCCTCTCTGCTCGTACTTGCACAGATGATTTAAATGACTACTTTCCCAACAAACACAAAAAAATAACCTCCCCTATCCTTCCTGATATTTCTAGACACCAAAGGTTTTACAGAGACATGTTACTTTCATGTGCTACCCAAGAGGGAATACAGCAGTGGGTGAATTTATCTCATATTTGTACCTACCACTCTGCCCAACAGCATTTGCAGGAGTCCCATGGCTGACCCAACTGAGTAATAAGATCCAGAGCAGTCTAAAGTCTTTCCTCTGTTTCAATAGTAGAGAAAGGTGACTTTTTAGCTTAATTTAGCTTAATGATTTGGGACTGAAACGTATTGAAATGTCCTGAGAATTTCCTAATAGTAAAACAGATACTACGGCCTTTGGTCAGCCAGTATTCATTCTTATACCCAGGAAAATATAGATTTTGGTTAGGTGGGAATTTTGTTCTATCTCCTAACAAATCCAAAATGCTGCTTTCCAGAGTCTTAAAATGTGTTACATAACAAGGCCTGAAACTATCAGTGAAAATACACATTGGCCTGGAGTGTGGTATTCACTTTACAAACTATGATTTGATATGAGGGTCTTTTTCCTTCTTAAAGTACATCAATAGCTAAATCCAATGATTTATAATGACAATAAATGTTCCTTTTAAAAATATTTCCTATAGAACACATCAAAGTACTAGTTAAAATCTGTTAATATTTTCCTGCATAATTTGCAGCGTGTCAATGGAAAAGACTGAAGGTGGATGTGAGGAGACCATGTGTTAAATAGCCAGAGGTAGGAAAAAATCTCTAGCTTTTTCATTTAGTAAAATCTTCTAGAACAAAGTTCTTACTCTTTCAAAACATGCACTTTCTCAAGATTCAAGTCAATAAACCAAATGTCTTGGATTACATTTCAAGGAAAGGAAAGAGGGGCTGTGGTGGTAGCAGACGGCTCTCTCACTGTAATATATCCTCATTTAAAGAAAAGAAAGCTAAAACTAACTCCGAACACAAACTGAAATAAACTGAGTTATAAGATGGGAAAGATATATATATTATAGAGAAAATATAAGAATAAAAAATTTTCATCAGTTTTTTTAAGAAACAAGAGGAAATCTAGTTATTAAAAAAAAAATCAAAAATTTAGAAGACAAAAGAGTCATTTTTATTAACAGACTCTTTACTCATGTAATCAAGCTACCAAAACCAAACTAAAACACAAAGAAGACTTGGGATTTTTTAGAATTCCAATTTCTGCTACATATTATGATCTTTTTATATATTGCATACATGTAATGTAGAAAAAAAATAGAATGGTCTTATGATTTCAGCTGCCTTGGGAGATGATTGAAACCTCTGAAAATTCATAGTTGCTAACATAAAGCTGGCAGACCAACCTCAAAGAACAGAAAAAAACACCACGTTTTTCTCTTAGTTTTGTTATTACTCTTTTTTAACATGGGATATAGCTAAGATAAACTGGATTATTGATGCATCATGGCAACAACATACATAGAATAAATACTTGAATACATTTAAATATCTCGTCTCTTTACCATGATGGCAAGATACTAGCCCATAAGAATAAAATCATCTTTCATGTACAGAAGCATAGCTACAAAATCTGAAAAGGATTTAGTGGCAATTTTGCTCACCTAAATAAATTAAATCTGCCTTACCTTGCTCCTTTAGGAAAAAACAAAAGTTAAAATTACACTTTTGAAAAACTGCACCAGTCAATGCTGGCATTGTATGCCTGTATTCATAATCATGAATGCCTACCCAGACCGATCATCACCAAAATCTTCTTGGTAGTTGTGAATTATTATTAATATGATAAAAACATATTATTAATTGGATAGATTGATTTATTATTTCTACTGCACTGTTATTCATTTTATTCCTACTCTATAAGTTTCAAGCACATGTCTGGAAGCAGAAAAAATATTTTATTACTTTAGTAACCAATCACCCAACACAAAAAAAAACAGCTTCAGCACTTCAAGGAATGAAAGTTTCACAAACAGACCAGACACTAAACCGCATTTGCTTATCAAATCATTACATATTGTAAATGGATTTAGAGTTACCATGAAGAAAATGAGGGGTTTGTGGAGAATTTTGAGAAACTAAAAGGGCATATCATGTGCTTTTTCTCTCAGGACATTTCTATGAAGAACACTTATTTTTGTCTCTTTGTGGTGAATAGCAGTCCAGGTTTTGCCCCTTTTTCAGGACATTCTGTGTGTCATACCACACATGAGGTTAGACCCTGTCTGAGTTATTCTTTCTGGCCTTGAAAGGCAACCAGACAGAGTTACTAGTTAATAAGATTTCATTAATTGCCTAGAGAGAGGCCAAGAGCTGCTGCCCCCAGTGTGTACAGCATGTCCAGGTAGAACAGTGCATTGGCTGACCACGACCCTGGTCATTACACCAGCAGAATTCTAACTGGCTATGCAACTGCACAGAACTAATTTTAACTGGATGATAATCATTAAGGTCCCTTCCAATCCAGGCCATTT